TTTATAAGAAATTTAATATAATATTTTTTTGTCCAAGATAACAGTTATTTTTTTATTTTTTTAAATTAAGGATTATAGGATAATTTATTTGTTTATTTATTTACTTATTTATAATATCTTTAAAAGAAGAGATAAAAGATAGATATAGATATTTTGCGATATGATAATTTATTGAAGTAGATAATAGATACCGACAAAGTTAAAATAGGAAAAAAAATATTTGTCTATTTTAAAAACTTTAGAAAAGAAGTCAATTAATTTAGAAGAAATTCAAGGTCTAAAAAAATGACAGTGGCTTTGAGACGGAGGAAATATATAAATTATAATTGAAAATCTTCTTTTTATATATGTAGTTTTTGTTGAATAATTTCATTTTATCAAAATAAAATTTCAATTTTTATTTATATATTATGTCAAATTTTATTTAAATTTAATGTCTAAAAGATCAAAACGTCAAACTAAATCAACTAAAATTGAATGAAGACAACATTTAACAATTTAAAATCAATTTATAAATTGATATTTCCAAATACCTTAGCAAGTTGTTTAAGTAAAAAAAAAAAAGGAAGATAATTGGTGTATATCGCGGTTCCTCACTCTTCGTTACATATCAACTAAAATATAAATATCCTACGATTTGAAATTAGCTGAGGAAATGCTTAATCCTTATACCATCCATAGTTTTTTTTTTTTTTTTTTTTTTGACAAGTTATACCATCCATAGTTGATTGTGAAAGCAGCAAAAACTTCCAAATTTTGTGTCGGTAAGCTTTTTCATTTTCTTCCACTTTGGTCACTTTTGGGTTTGTTAGGTAAGCTTTCAATTTCATACATGTGAAGAATGTCACATCTGCAAAGAATTTTGTGTCGGTAAGCTTTTTCATTTTCTTCCACTTTGGTCACTTTTGGGTTTGTTAGGTAAGCTGTCAATTTCATACATGTGAAGAATGTTACATCTGCAAAGAATTTCCGTGACATTTCACCTAACTAGGAAAAGCATCAGATGCTGGCCCAATGTCGCCAACAATCATCTTCTTTGAAGCACTTGTTCAGGGTTTGTTAGGTAAGCTTTCAATTTCATATATATGAAGAATGTCACATGTGCAAAGAATTTCCGTGACATTTCACCTAACTCGAAAAAGCATCAGATGCTGGCCTCCCATTGGTTTACAAAGCAGGGACGAAGACAATAAAGGACAAAAGGAGGGAGGGCGGCTGAGTGCTTAGATACCAATTGGTCCCATTGGTTTACAAAGCAGGGATGGAGACAATGAAGGACGGGGGCGGAGGGGGGCGACTGAGTGCTTAGATACCAATTGAAGGACGGGGGTGAAGGGGGGCGAAGGGGGGCGACTGAGTGCTTAGATACCTATTGGTCCCATTGGTTTACAAAGCAGGGACAGAGGCAATGAAGGACGGGAGAGCCACCCCCCTCAACTTTTGAAAAACATTAAATATGGTACTCTAACTTTATTTGTTAAAAATTTGGTTTTTATAATATGAATTTCTTCCACGGATCACTTCAAATGTAGAACATAATATTTAGGACCGAAATACAAAGTTTTAAAAAAATAAGGATATGATTAAAAAAAAAGAAACTTAAAAAAAATTAAATAAATAAAAAATAAGAATTTTAAAAAATTTTTTTATCTATTTAGCCCCAAAAAGAAAACTTTAATTATCTATTTAATCAACTTTAAATTCACAACTTTTTTTTGCATTATTTATTTTCTTTCTTAATATTCTATATAATAATTTAAAGTTTTTTTTATGACAATGAGATACATTTTTACCTTTCATGATTGAGTTTATAATCATTTTTTTGTGTTAAATCAATCAAAATTAGAGTTCACTTTTAAAAAGAAATATTCTAGTTTTTTTTATAATATTAGTATTTATCAAGATGACTTTCAAAAAATTTAAGACAAAAATACTTCAAAATTACATTATTTCAATAAAATCAAAATACTCTTGTTTCTACTTCAAGAAATTTTTTTTTTCAAAGCAAATTTACTGAAACAATATAATTTTGTGATTTTTTCCTCCTAATTTTCTAGAGATTTTGTTAACAAACACATTTTTTTTTAATTCATTCGTCAATTGATCGTTATGTGATTCATTACTATGATATGTTATTTTTATTATAATAAATACATTTATCTCTAATTTTTGTTAAGAATATATCAATAAAAAAGATAACAAGTGAATATTTTTATAAGAGAAAGAAAATTTAAAAGAAAATAAATTAATATCATAAAAAATACTCTTG